GGATACTCTGAACCGGCAAGCAGTCGGTGATAAATCGCGCCGGCCGCAACACGCTCGCCATTTCTCACGGTTTCCAGCCTTCTGCCTCCAAGTGCGGTCTTCCCAGGTCCTGATACAATCTTCGCATCGTCACGGTGCACGATCAAGCCGCCTAGTCGGTTCCCAGTACACTGTTTCCCCACCGGTGAGTCGATTCATGTCGCTGACTCACTGTAGATTGGTTCCGCTTTCAACGACAACGCTGTTCACTCATGTCCGTTGTCCGATCACCGTGTTGCGGATGCAATCGCGACTTCAGATTGCCAACATTCTTCTGTGCGTGGCTCTCTCGGTGACAGAGAGTTAGCGCTTTTCAGTTTTTGTGAGTGACCACCTCTTGCAGACATATAACACAGTCAATAGGAGGGTAGAACTGAAGAGGCTGACGCCGGTTTCATTCCTGATGTTCCCTAGGACGTCTTTGAGGGAATGAAAAGCGGGCCATTCGGTGCTCCTCCGTAAAATCCCTCTGGCCTGATCATAGAGCATTTTAATATGCTGCAAATGTGTTCACCGGTTTCTTCGGTCTTTTAGCAGTTTAGTATTAATCCGACAGGGCATGCGATCGCGTCGTCTTCGTCTTTGACCGATCGATTGAAAACTTCAACCATTAAATACAATTTCCATTATATATTATTCGTTCGCCTTTCAACTTTTCGAAGTACATACAAAAACAGCCATGTCTAAGAATACAATTATTGCGTGCCGTTGAACACATGACTGAGTCACGGTTATCGCCTTCGTCACAAAAGGAAGGCGTTACACAGACAATGTATTTCCGGTCATTTCGCTTCTGACAGCCTAGAGGGCCGTTTAAGCACGCCACGGCTCCATGAGCTTTTAACACCTACAGTGCAATGGCGAAAAACAGCAGCATTTTGTTGGATCAAACACTAACAGACGTACATCGATTCGTGGGCATATATAATACGAATTAGCCCCGGTATTATGGCTTTAGTAGATAACCGCTAGTCTTCACTATCGCCGGTAAGAATAAACATTTCCTGTCACTTCTCCGGATTCACACGGCATAGTCACTAGCACCGTTTTCTTACTTATGGTAACCTATATACAAACTATCTTTGAGGTAGTAAAATGATCATCAAAACATATAAAGGGAAAATATTATACGCTACAGCCACCACCCAGCTGCATACGATGCCTTCCAATGGAATTCCAATAGGAACAAAAAGGAGGATCTCAGTAGGT